CCCCCCAATCCTTCCCTTCCATTCTGATCTATTAGAAGTATTGCAGGTTTGGTTTTGTTATGGTTTTTTTCTGGCTATCTTGGCTAGGGAGAAACATCCAGAGCTCTCAGGATGGTCCCTTCTAAGCCCCCAAATCCTGACAGTACAGAATGGCTTGCCATGGTTGCAAAATGCTCTTTTTTTGAAGGAAAGGACTCTACTACTGAGCCTGCATTAGTACATAATAGTAGCCCAGTAGGAGCAGGTCTGTAGAGCATTCTCTGTAGTGTTTGCCTTTATCCAAAAAGTCCAGGTTGTGCACTCTGAGATGACTTCACAATACAAACCAAAGCATGGTAAATGGTGATGATTGGGTCATTTCCAACCAGATTGCACTCCTGACCAGAAGTAAACTGCTCACGTAGATACATCCTCTTGTCCTTGTGGAAGTATTTATGAAACCCCTCAGGTAAATACTCCTGCATCATTGGAGGGAAGGAGGATGAAAGAAGAAGACAGTGTCACCACATGTACGATCTATCGTAGACCTGTCTCACTTGATTATAGGAAGCTCTGTCTTTCGAGGTAGAACAGGTGTCTGCTGTGAAGAAGACTACTGTAGGTGGGCTCTGCAGTGTCACCACATGTACGATCTATCGTAGACTTGTCTCACTTGATTATAGGAAGCTCTCTCTTTCGAGGTAGAACAGGTGTCTTCTGTGAAGAAGACTACTGTAGGTGGGCTCTGTACTTCATCCAAAGTGTGGTAGATACATAGTGATTTCAGCAGGGGGTTTCAGAACGAAGTATATCCTTTTGCTTAGGGCAGTTTGAATGCTGCTTTGGATATTTAGATGTCGTATTGGACTTTGTCAGGGATGTTTGGCTGGGCTGTTCTCAGGTATGGCTGTTCCCTGTGTATTTCTCAAGTCCTACAAGTGCAAGTTAGGCCTTACTGTCTCACAATGAACATGCAGCTGCAGTACTCTAGGGGCACAGCTCTTCTGTGAAGTTCTGCAGGAAGATTACTTTATCTTCCAATAAAATACTGGAAATCTCAAATATTAGTGAATATAATCTGCCTTAAAAATCTTTTTTTTTTTCCCTATCTAGGCTTCTTGCCTGGAAAATAAGATGCTGATATTCCTCTGTTTACAAGGAAGTTAGGTAAAGAAGCTGCTGTTTCGGAAAAAAATTCTGTGTCAGAGTCAAGGACCACAGAAGAAAACTCAGGCATGTTTAAGGAATGCATTCAGTCATGTATTTTAGGGTGAGTAGAAAATCAAGGTCTTCTGTGCAGTTTGGGATCTAGAATGACAAAAAAGCTCCTACACTAAAATAGTATTTTATTATAAAACTAAGAGCTGTAGCCGCATATGCAGGTAGCTCTGACTCTTGCTTCGTAACTCTGGAGTGCTTGTCAAAGTGATGTAGTTTGAAATGATTTTGTCTGTTTGGTACATCTTAAAAAAAAAAAAAATCCTGTAAGAATAATTTATTTTGACCTAATTCAAGGACTCATGAGTAGAATAAAGTGTACATTACACTTTTTTGACATAATGTAATTTTTTTTTTTTTATTTGTAAGTAGTTTTGACATAGCAGAATAGAACATATGACAAAACCAAAAGTGCACAATATATGTGAAGTGATCTTGCATTTCCTCTGCTGCTCAGTGATGTTAGGCTGAACTGCAGTCTTGGTTGCAAAAGCAAAGTTGCCACACTAAGGTTCACTGTTACTAGCATCCATAGCTGAGTGTGTGGTCCCACAGTGTCAGGGGACAACTGTGAAAACAGTCTACGTGTTCCTAGCCCTTCTTCTGCAGTGCCTGAGTCCAGGTGAAAATCAACCACCTTTTCTCTTTTGCAGAGTTATTTCTCAGGTAGGCCAGTTCCCAGAACTAGCTTACCCTGCCAGTACCAGTGCCAGGGTGGAGAAGACATTGCCCAGCCAAAGGGGCAGGGGAGAAAGCAGCATCATAGCAGTCTTCTGGGTCAGCTGAAACTGCTGTGGAGCTTCCAAGATTTGCCAGTAGTATTTGCCAATTGTCTTTTTCATGTGAATCCTATCCCCAGTGCTTGTTGGTGCACTCCTGGCTGCCCACTGCTTTATCCTGGTGTCCCTAAAACCTCTTCTCACTGCGTGTGAGTTGTGCTCAGCTCACCTCTCTGCTAGGAATGGAAATAAAGTCATTGGTTGGACATGGAGTTTTGAGTATGGTAGATGAATGCTTTCTGTGTGGAAGTAACGGACTTGTGAAAGGACACCAAGTGTGATTTACAACTCAAGCAGTTTGGATTAGGATGTGGAAATAGGGTATTGTGTCTGTCACTGGAAGTGTTCTGAGTCATGCACTAGAAATTGTGCTTATGTGCATATGAGCAGCTCGCACAGATGTTACCAGGTAAATATCAAGATGCTTTCCAGTTCCAAGTTCGATTGTTTCTAGGAATTGCATAGAGAACATACTGGATTTTTCTGCTTTTAACTGGATAGCTGAAAATGAGATGTATTGATTCATGAAAAGTGGAAACTCCCCTTATAAGCTTGGCAAACGTTAATGTCACTTCTAGTAATAGCCTTTCATGTGTGAATGCAGCTGAGGCTGGAACAGTTTGTAAAGCATCTTTGGAATTCAGAGGTTCTGAAGAGATGAGGTACAGAAAGGGATATATCCCCCCCATCCTTCCCCACCAAAAAAAAAAAAAAAAAGATAACTGCTGTGAATTCTTGGCAGAACTAATATGGGGGCTACTATTACATTGCCTTTCTCTCAGTGCAGGGTAAACCTACTAATGTTGGCTTCTGCCAACAAAAGAAGAAATAACAGGAAAATGATGACGAAGAGAGGCAGACACAAAGGTTAAATAGAAAGCACATAGCAAAGTGAGTATCTGGAACTTTTGGTGCTAGTGACCAACTGGAGTTGGAGCAAATAACCAGCAGTAGGGTGTGAGATCAGGTGGTGTTTGAGGATCTTCTAGGGTAGTTGGAGTAATGTAGAACTGACTTGAACATTCAGGATAGATTTAACCTCCAGAAAAACACGTGTTCAGGGTTCTAGTTGAATAGAAACTCTCTTACAATACTCTGTAAATCACTCTTTCACCCCACTCCACCCCTTGCATATTGTAATGGTGAGTTATTCTCTGAGATTAAGAGATGTCAGGCTATGGAGATTACAGTTATCCTGCAACCCCAAGAAGGTTTATTTTTTTGGGCTTTGTAACTGTGTACTAATTAGAATATTGCTAGACAGTCTTATTTACAGTTTTCCTTTTAACTTGTCAGAGTCTGATAATTGAACTAAGTTTAAGAAATATCAGCATCACATAAAATCATGACTATTCAGTATGTTAATTTTTCTCCTTTTCTATTTCTGCTACTGGTATTTTAGGGTTCTAAAATACTGCTTTTCCATAAACTGCATAAAAGTTGACAGTGAAAATCCTCTTTTTTTCCTTCCTTTGCTCTCCCTCCCCCCTCCAGGGCTACTGGCAGACAAATGTTAAATTCTCCTGGTCCTGTGGAGCATAAAAAGTATCTGTGTTCGACTGAGAATGAAGAAGGACTAATTGATCAAAGAGTGCTAAAGCAAAAGTGAGTTTATAATGCATTTCCTAAATTTTCCTTACCTTTAAAAAATGACAGAACAAAGCAAAAAGAAGTGTTTGAGACTAACAGATACCTTATAAAAAGTGATCCTAATTATTAGAGGCCTGGTCAGGTATATTTAGAAAACAGCAAGAACAGAAACTTACTAGGATTCAACTGAACGCACTAGTCAAATGGTATTTTTTCTGCTCTTCATCCTCAGTCCCTGCTCTTTATCTTGTGTTGCCTCATGCAGAAGGCAAGGTACAAGTTTGTCTTAATTTGTCTGGTTTTTAAAAATCCTCTTTTACAGATGTGTTTTCAATAGCAGTCTGACAAATTAATCATTACAGAGTGGAATATGGCTATAAAAGAATTGTGTGCTTGAGGCACTTTAAATATAGCACATGTGAAGGTAGGCGTGCTGGTTCCATTTGCACACTCACTTTCCTTGGGTATCAAAATGAGTTGTCTTAAAAACTGGAGGCAAGGTGAGTGCAGGTTTCCTTGTGTTTTGGTGGTTTTGTTTTGGTTTTTTTCCTTTTCCTACACATACTTTTCCCCTTTGAGATTGGCAGTTAGTGTTAGGAGTCTAGTTTCTCTTTCAAGGCAATTGTTTTCTTGTTTGTAAAGCTTTCTCTGTTGGTGATTATCCCCCTCTATTCCTGCCTGCTATAATTTCTCCCACATAGATCTGACTGATGGCTTCATCATTGGTCAGATATTCTGAGATAAGGAGAGGTCTTCTGTAAAAATGTCTATTTTATCACTTAAAAAAAGTAACAAGGAGTTAGGAGTAAGGCTGTTTGGGAACAGAGGCAAGGGCTTAGTGGATCACATAGTTAATGCTTTTAAAATAAAATTCAGCTATGAGCTTCAAAAGAACAAAAAAAATCTCAAACCCGAAGATCCTGTCAGCATCATTGACAAAGAAACAAAACCAAATCACTTAAAACCCTCAGAATAAACCATTAAAATGATCTTGCAGTTATGGTTTTTAGCCTGTGCTTCTAAAGGATGCTTATTTTTAATTAATTATGAGTAATTTGCCTTGTGCTGTATAAAGAGTTTTAAATGGATTGTATGAATCAGTGTAACCCAGAATTGACTGGCTTTAGGAAATGTTCTCGGTTACTACTGTAGCTGAGAGTCAGTATGTAACTTCCAAAGGCCCATAATGGCCTGTTAAGGGGAAAGGGACTGCAAACCAGCAAGCAGTGCCAATCCACCTTGGGGCAAAGAAGCAGAAGAGGAGGGACATCTGCTTCTGTAAATAGAAGTGTCCTTTCTCAATGAAATACTAGATGTCCTAAAAGTCAGTGGAGCTGTGGTGATTTGTAGTCTTGAAGACCTGAGTAAATTTTATGAGGGCTTCTATTTAAAGATCAGATGAGAAGCTGGCAAGTCTCTTTCTCTGAAACAGCTGTTTGATCTGACTAAATCTGAGGATGGAACTGAATGGCCATTGCATCCATTAACTGCTGCACTGGGTTCATCCCACGCTATATATTATTTTTGGAAGTGAATGCTGCTGTTTAGATATGTCTATGACTTGCCCCACATTGATAAATGCAATATTATAGAGTTTAGGTTTGATATTTTGTTTTTTCCCTTTTCTTCCTGCCTTCTTTTCCCTTCAGTACTCACTGCATTTTTTTGACAACCAATGGAAAATTGTAATGTTTTATATGCTTGAGGGATTGTGCCAGCTATAAGCAGGTGGTAAAGGGTTGAACAAGACATTTGTTTTCGAAATTTGATTATGAGAACAGAAAAAGCTGTTTTGACTATTATATAATGATAGATTCTTACCCTAGAGTATAAAAGTAAACCCCCTGTCTATTCTGCTAATATACTAAATTTGAAAGCTGGGTTGGTTAGTTGATTTGTTTTTTCACTTAAGTTCCAGTCTATGGATTTATGTGCTGTGCTGAAAAGTCATTTTTCACATCAGATTAGCAGTGGCTGGTTTTTATATTTTGGCATAATGTTAATCAACATTTCTGTTAGATCAACTAGTGGTTTTTTTCCATTGCTTTAAATTCGGAATGTTCGAATTCTATGCATGTGTTTCTCTCACCTAGTCTCTCATCTTAACTAATGGGGAAAGGGAAGCTGTAGTAATACAGAGAAGTTGTTCTGCAAATAAATGCTCTGGACTGTCTTATTCTGAGTAAGAAGGAGGAGGATAGGTACCCATTTCTTATCAGCAAGGCCAGATTTGGAAGAACAGCTTAGAACAATGATGACTTCCACTACTCCTTAATGGGTGTTCCCACCTCACCCACTTATTTGATGGCAGAGCAGTTCATACAAGCACTTCTAGAGTCAATTCTGCCAGGGGTTAGTTTAATTCAGTGGGGTTGATTTAAATGTACAGTTCAAATGATCAATATTTCGCCAGGGTTATATTTGTAGCCTCTGTCTCCTCATTCATTTAATCCAAACTGAAAAAGAAGAACTTGAAATTTTGTGGGTAGTGTTTTTGGATTTTTTTGTTGTTGATGATTTTTCCTCAAAAGACCCATGCAACTATAGCTTCAATATTTGGCATGGTTTTTGTTGAAATGAATTTGTGGGTGCTTTTATGGGTTATTAGTGCTGGTGAGTTGGCTCAAAGTTTCTCTGTGGTTTTTCCTGTGTAGATAGTCCTAACAACTGTGTTAAATATGCCCTTCTGTATTACTAAATATTACAAAAATATCAAAGAAGATTGCTTAAACACAAAAAATGAGGAGTAAGTGGGTGCAGCAATTGTATAATTTAATTTTGAAATTGTGCATAAGTATAACCAGATGAGGTTTGCAGGTTAGCTCAGTGGAGTAACTTTTTACGAGCAACTACAGAAGTGAAAACAGCCAGTCTTTTTGTTAATCTCCCAAGAAGATTAATCTTGAAGCAGTGTTCTTCCGTGAAGACAATAAGATAGCTACAGAGGATGATTCAATAAATACGTTTCCCCTATACCTGCTTTTCTGTATCAGAGTAGCAGCAGTTTGATGGCTCCTGGCATCCTGGTGTTTATCTCGTTGCTAAGACAGAGGCTGTCATTACTTGTAAATACCCGACACTTCTGTGAACACCAACCTTTTATTGGTTGGTTTATATGTCCTGTCTGCCTTTCCTCAAGGTGTTTGTTTATCAGATGACATCCCTAATGTACACATTTTTCACTGTTTCCAATATGATGGCCCAGCTGCTTTCCTTCAAGAGCGATGTCCTGATACAGGCTTCTTTGTACATTTATTCTTTCTATAAAGATGTGTTCTGTAGCTCTTGAGTGTTGTGTAACAGATTTACTGTCTGGATGCCTTGAAGTAGTTTGCTCAGAGCAGGTTTATGTGCACCAGCAGGATAACAGATCTTCTGGCCAGCCTTGACAGCCTTGAACTTCTCTATTTGCTGCGAGTTTGGAAGATGTGGTTAGTGCTCAGCTAAACCTGGGCCTTCTAAGTGTTCATATACCAATAAAACCATTGACAGCACTGGTGCTGGTGCCCATCTAAATTTGGGCTGATGCCAAGGGCAATGAATTGGAAGATTTATTTGAAAATAAACTTGGCTTCCAGCTCCAAGATGTCCGTGATGGCAAGCATGGTTGCAAACCACCATTCACTCAGTGGAGACATCTTGCCTTCATGGCCTCAAGTTGTGTCAAAAGTCCGTGATGGCAAGCATGGTTGCAAACCACTGTTTGTCCGTTCACTCAGTGGAGACATCTTGTCTTCATGGCCTCAAGTTGTGTCAAGAGAGGTTCAGATTGGATATCAGGAAAAATTTATTGATTGAAAGGTTGTTAGGCACTGGAACAGGTTGCCTAGGGAAGTGGCTGAGTCCCCATCCCTGGAGGTATTTAAAAGATGGGTAGATGAGGTGCTCGGAGATATGGTTTAGTAGTGGACAGGTATGGTTGAACTCTGTGATCTCCAAGGTCTTTTCCAACCAAACAATTCTATGATTCCATGATTCTAAGCTCTCAAGAGGTCAGGCACTTGCCGGTGTGCACTATTGCAATACTTTGAATTAGTAACACCTTGCTGATAGGGACTGAAGGTGAGCAGAGCATGGAACCACGTTAATGATGCTGTACATCTCCTTAGCTAAGGCAGTCTCACATCTAGTTTGGTCGGACTGCAGGCAACTGCACGGACTGCTAGGCAGCTGCACCTGAGGTGTGTTTTAGTTTTGACATGTCATTCTTCTAATGATCTTTATAGAGCTCCTTCCTTTGCTTCCCCATTACCTATATATCAGTACTGTTGGTCTGTGTTTAATGTGTTTTATCAGACACACATGCTTGTGCTTTGAAAAGGAGGAGAAAAAAAAATATAGAATAGCTAGCCTGAAAAATTGTTGCTTAGTCAATAATTTCAGATTATTTCACTCCTGTTACACAAGAAAGCAAATATTTCTTCTATACATGTGTATATATATACACGTATGCCGCTATAGTCCCGCAAATAAAAATCTTAGCTGGACTGTGCCTCTTTTATGTAACTTAAGAGTTCTTAGTTTCTATGCAGAAACCTTAATGTTAAAGCACCAGAATTATTTCTAGTAGATGTTGTGCTCTTTTTTTCAATTAGTTCATATGGACATGAAAAGCAACCACAGTCAAAGAAAAAAAAAAAAAGTTAAGTCTTTGATAGTGGTCAGTAGTAGAAGAAAAGATGTACTGTCAGTTTTGTTCAGAAGTACACACATCAGATGCTTCCTTTGATTATATCTATTCAACAACTAATGTTTAGGGATTCCAAAACAATAAATTGCATCTAGCCCATTAATTTTAATAGTGATTGATTGAATCTTTCTTCTATGAATTTGCCTGAATACTTCAGAAGCTATTTAGATAGATAGATTCCCCTGTTGAATGATGTGTCATAATAGAAAAATAATTTATTCTTTTTTATTTTAATGATTCCTGATAATTTCACTTCAATTGTTATTCCATCATCACTAAAAAATGTTATATCTGTGGGTTCGGGTTTGTTTTCTGCAAGGTTTGG